AGAGAAGTACATTGTTTCCGCTTTGTGTTTCGAGTATTATCAGTCAGTGAAAACTCACCCTTCTATGAACTTTAATTCTAAATGAAAAGTTTTATAAATTTTGAGAAGTGGTGAGCTAAGAATTTGCCTTCATGAAGGGGTTGTAATCTGCGAATATCAATTTGTTTTGCATTATCTAAAATATGATACAAACCAGTATACAACGATTAAATTCCTGTTGAGAATAAAAGGAGAATAAAGGGAAATGGAGAAATAAAAATGTAAATCTCTTGGATAGTAAAGAAAGGAATTAACATTTTTAATTTAAATTACTAATATATTCTAATATATTACTATATATTACTAATATATTCTTGCAAAAGAGAAGACTGCAGTTAGTTTCATTCACAGGTAAAAAAAAAAGTAGAAAACCACTACAATAGCAACAATTTTCAAATAACCTGAGTTCTCCAAAAAGAATAGATTCAGAAGAATAAATATTGTGCGTGAGATAAGAACAGAAGGAAGTCATAAAGTCATATTTTTAATTTCTTGTACGAAGTATCGTAACTGCGAAAAATTTCGATTATGATATTTTAACGAAAGTGTCCATTTTGACCGCACTCGAATCCATTTCGAAGGCTTCTTTGCTTGACAACTGTATATACGAAAAGAACAGACTCTGTTTCATTTCAAAGTGTATTTTAAATGAATTCAGAAGGGTTTTTTTGTGACACGTACGTACGTACGCATGTATATATCTCACAAAACTCAAAACCGCTTCACCCTAAAACGTTGAAATTTTATATATGAGACTGCTACAGCATTTAGTTGCGCTGCGTACCTCTTTTTTTATTGCATTAGGACATACCAAACGTATACACCCACCCCTTACCCGAATGGAATAACCAATGTTAGGCAATGCTGAACGCGAGATAAGGATGCACAAAATGTTATAAGAGTCAAATGTAAAACATAAATGTATTAGAAAAAGCGCATATTGTACAAATCTCATTGCTGGCAAAAGTAAGAAATGTCAATCGACAACAGAGCGCTTACATATGCTTTACATACAGAACATTAATTACGTTATTATTCAAATTTAATTTTGTTTGATGATACTCTTCACAAGTTAATTTTGCACGTCGCAGCCGCAAGAATATTAAGGCATAATGATTACAAATGCAGAAAATTTATATTCGCTACTTTTATCGCTTGGGTATTATATGAGCAGCTGGAAAGACAGGTGACAAATCAAAGAAGAAATTTAGCACTTTGCGATCCTTAAGGAAACTTTTCAGCTTCAAATTCCTCGACGGTTCTCCAGTATTTAAGCTTCCAAATATCAAACTATCTTAATGTATTTCCAAAGTAAAATACAATTCAGTTTTAAAATTTCCTGATTAAATATTTCTGGTCATAAATATTACGATTTTATCTCCTTGTGAAACTATGCATCATTCCATTAAAATTGTCAATGATGCAGAGGTATTTATAATCATAAACCTATAGCTTTCTGCAGTCATAATTTTTAAGTTTTATAAATATGCAATCAAAAATATAAAATAAATTAGTTTTTCGTATTATATAGTATGTAATACTTATCTATAATAATAAAAGCAAGTGTAATGTGTCTGTCTGTCTGTCTGACCGAGCTCTCCAGCCAAATCTATCGCACGCAGGGACCTGGAATTTTTTATACGGAAGCACAAAGGGGCTGGCCACCAGACCTCGAAGCCCGATTTTCGATTTTTGAATTAGAAAAATTTAAAAAAAATTATTTATAATTAATTAATCACGGTTTTTTTGACTCACTGATATTATTATTTGTTTTCAAATAACGTTCGATTGTAACAATTGATTTCTTTATTCTAGCGTTAGTTTGCTGTTTTGACGATACATTAAATCGATTAATTACAATTCATTTCTTTTTTGTAGCTGTGGGGGGGGGGGAAGAGAGAGAGACAGTCTACATGTCCTACACTACTATTCCTGCGCTATTCACTTATCTGCATTTTCTAAATGCACGGGCAACGCCGGGCGGGTACACCTAGTTGTAAATAAATGTATTATTCAAAAAATTAGTTTTTATGTATCATATACTACGTATAGGTGTTTTGAAAATATGATTGTACCTGCCTAAATTATAGGTAGCTTCAGTAATAATTTAAACAAATTAAAGCAGCTCATATAATTTACAATAAATTAAAACAATAATTGAAAATTAATTTCTCATTAAGTTGTAATGTTGCGCGCTTCCAACCTGCACGCAACAATAGTGGTGACTGCTAAGAACTGGAAAGTAGACAAAGTCTTGAGAAGGGTTTAAATCCCTTTTTATTCAACTTTAGAAATTACCAATGCGTGCTCTTGACGCTCACAAACTACGCCGACCCGGCGGTAAAATAAAAATAAGAAACTAAGAATAGTAACAAATGACTAACTACGAGGCTCTCTAAACGTAACTAACATCACCGCGTTCTAAAATACCGCTGATAATTCAGCAAACTTCTGAATATTACGTTGAAAAATTAACAATCTGCCGAGGCAAGCACACAGGCCGAAACGCGTGGTTCTTCAATTTCTAACTAGCCACCTCCACGCTCGTAAAGCAAGAAAGCACACTTTCGAACTCGTTTCCCTTCTATTTAACTCAGATTACTTCCGCTGACAATTTGAATCCTTGCGCGTTCTACTAAAATTTACATACTCTGGCATTGGCAATTCCAGGGTAAAGTAAGGCTTGACAGGAAAGATAGTTTAAACTTAAAATAAATATAAACCGTACAACGTTTAGGAGTTTGGTAAAGTTATAAGGTATTTTCTCCCTCTTTCAAGCATCCCTTCGTAGTGAAACGGTTAGCACACTGGACACGTTTTCGAGAAGTCCAGGTTCGAGTGCCGGAGAGGTTATTGCTCATTTTTCTCGTCTCCCGCTTAAAAAAAAACCTAATGACTCTACAAATTATATTTTGCTTTAAGTTATCTCAGCAAGTTATTTTATGTTCCTATAATTTTATCATTCTCTCATTTCTTATGCGAAAAACCTTATCTAGACGTATATGTAGAACAATATATAGTACTTTAAGTGTATGCAATGCATTATGTAAAACCATGTGACAACGGCAGAAATACCGTACTTATTCCTAATCTAAAATTTCTACACAGAGAGACTACTGATCTTGCAGTTAAACTCTGTTTAAACTATATTCCAACACCTAGCGTACAGCCCTGTATGAATATATGCTTGGAACAGCACTGTGGGAAAAAACTGATTATTATGTGAAAAGAAAACATGAATAGTAATATGCACTCTTTTTTTTTTACTCATGAAATAATGTAGTTGCTGAGTATTCAGTTAAGATATTTTATGAATTCAACATAAAATTAACTAATCGAATGGTGTCCGCCGATAACATCGCGGCAAAAACATCGCGGACGAAAACGTCGCGGAGAAAACAACGCAAGGCGAAAACGTCGTGCTACAAAACATCGTGGGAGAAAATATCGCAAAGAGAAAACGTCGCAGTCCTAAAACATCATGGTACAAAACATCGACGTCGAAAATAGAGCGGTTCAAAAATTTCGCAGTTTAAAAATATCGTGGTTAAAAAATAAAGTATCTACAAATTGTCGCATGACAATAATATCGCAAAATATTTTCAAGTTTTAATAACTGTAAATGGATATTTCCATAATGATTTGTGAGCGCAAGATGTAAAGAAGGATAATTTTCACTTTCACATTTTTTTAATAACTAATAAATTTTTGCTGAAAAAAGTAAGAAGGAAACTTAAGGCATAGAAAATTAAATGCAAACTTACAGACTTATACTTTTCATGAAAAAGTACCAGTAAAAACTTTATAAAAATGATTTATTAACGGCCTTTGTTAGTTAACTATGTCGGTTTAAAATTTGTATTAAGTGCTATAAGTTGCATTAATTTTCTATGCTTCAAGTTTCCTTCTTTTATTTTCTCAGCAAAAATTTATTAGCTAATAAAAAATATGAAAGTAAAAATTATCCTTCTTTCCATCTTGCGCTCACAATCATTATGGGAATATCCATTTACAGTTATTAAAGCCTGAAAATATATGTCTGCGATGTTATTGTTATACGATGATTTGTAGATACTTTATTTTTTAACCACGATATTTTCGACGGCGATGTTTTTAAACTGCGAAGTTTTTGAACCGCTTTATTCTCGACGAAGATGTTTTGCACCACGATGTTTTAGAACTGCGATGTTTTCTCTTTGCGATGTTTTCTCCCACGTTGTTTTGTAGCACGACGTTTTCGCCTTGCGTTGTTTTCTCCGCGACGTTCTCGTCCGCGATGTTTTTGCCGCAATATTTTCGGCTGTAACCAATCGAATACTAGAATAATTATTAATTTGTTGTCTGCCATACATATTCCTTCATAATATAGTGACATAATTCATAACAACAATATTTTTTGGAAAACAAAATGCCTTAATAAAAGTTTTAGTTATTTCGTGAGTAGTGATTGAATTCCTACTATTTAGCACAAAACATAGTTGAAATAAGTTTTGAGATAATTTGAATTGACTAGCTTAAAATTTCTTAAACAAAATATTGATAAAACTTTAAATAATGCATTTGAAGGTTATTCCAAAAAACAAAATATGAGAGAAACTTAAGAGAATGAAACGGAGTTAAATATTACAGAAATGATCGAAATTGCGTTTGGTTACTTTGCACAGATTCAAATTTCTATTTACATTTTACATACAATTTTGTTTTAATTAGCCGTTGAAAGTGAAAACCAATTATTGAAAACAATGACACCACAAATCAAATTAGAAGTCACTGGGGTTTTCCATTTCCCACATTAAAAAGAGATATGATGATTCAGATGATGTAATAAGCTCTTTGAATGCATACGATTACTCCCATCGCAGATGTCGTATTTGTTTTTATATCTTATCAATAAAGGGTTTACCTTCTTCTGAAAATCGGAGCCCGAAATAAAAGTTGACTGCATTCACAACCGCCGTTATCTTCGAATATAAATGTTTCAGTTTCCGATCGCTAAACTTAATCTTGTCTAAAAATGATATAACTTGTGTCTCACGGCAATGTAGAATAATGCTACCTAAAATGAAGACTTGCGATCACCATTCCAGCTTTTCTCTCGAAGCCTTGAATTTGTTGGACTGCGATGAAAGATGTCGGCATTTTTTAGCTGCGCGAGCTCCAAAACTTAAATGGGCTCTGATGACATTAGAGAGATTATCTGACGAATGCAAAACAATGACAGACCGCAATGATGTCGACTTCGATATATCTCGATTGCGACCTTTTTTAAAGAATTTATCCACGAATTTACAGCTCGAAATAGATTGTCTAAGTTTACCAACAAAGGCAAAGTATGCGTTTTTCAGAAAAGGGTTAGTAACTATACTGCAGGATAGTACGTTTCAAGATTATGTGTCATTTCTAAAATGTCAGTTGGCTAAATGCACAAGCGTTGAAGAAATTGAAATTTGGTTGCGAAAATTCGTAAAAGTCTGCCAGAACATTCCAAGATCACTGCACATTTGTTCCAAAAACGTTCAGCAATACAAATTTATGGCAGAATTACTAGATTTTTGCTATAATGTAGATATTCAGGACAGCCAACTAGTAATATCTTTGGTTAGAATAACTGTAGACTGGTACATTATAGATTCTACAGACACAAGACATGTACGGCAACCATTTTATAAAGAAGGATTTTTGAGGTACATCTTGCAACACAGTATAAATCTAAGATTTGACTTAATTTCATACTGTTCTAAGCACCCTCGAACTCTATGGGAATATTCAAGGAACTTTTCAGTGTTAAATGCAGCTGCATTTGGAAATGTAGAACGCACGCTAATACTTTTGCAGCATGGAGTGGAAATCTTCACTGCGAAGGACATTGAAAAAAGTGGACATGGTTTTCCAAAACTGTAAGTATATTTGAAATATATTCTAGTATTTTTTTATAGAGCTTTGTGTATTTTAAACAATCCGAAGTGCAGCTATGTTCTTATAAAAGACTTTCTGTCTTTTCTGTCTTACATTGTTAAAAATTCTTTAAAAATGTATTATTTTCTTCGACATTTTATACTCAGTGTTATTTATATTTACCTTTGAAATGAAGTCATCGAAAACTCGTTTTTAACTTCAGTTTCCGTTACAGTATTGTAAAATTTACAAATATAATCAAAGATTGCCCAGAAACTCAAAAGATAAAACTGTTAACTATTAATAACTAATTGACTAAAAAAATTAAAACGGAGTGATGTGTAAACTCAGATTTATGATACGGGTTTTCTGAAAAATTACTTCATGTGAAGTTACAGATAAAGATAACCTGGCCTGCTGTCATTCACTGTTGTCTAATCTGCCGCAAATATGATGCGAGCGGAAAACTTAACAATTTTTATTATCTTTTATCTACTTTGAGTAAACAAATAACTCTTTATTGTTGCAAGTTTTTTACTTGAAGGAAAAATATTTGTTTGTATTTGAATGCCCTTTTACATGTCTTTTAAATTTAACAAAGAGTATAAACATAACATAATTTCCTAACTCATTTGATTTTATTTAGATTATAATCTGAATGCTTTAAAATTTCTTTTTGGGTTGCCTCATGTAACTATCATTTTGCAAGTCACGGTATAAGGTATTTCTCCCACCTTCTTGGCGAGCCTTCGGGGTGTGGTGGTCAGCACACTGGGCCGGTATTCTAGAGGTTCGTGGTTCGATTCCCGGCGAAGGCGGTCGCTCATTTTTCATCTCTCCGGCTTTTCCAGCTAACCTAATGTCTCTACAGTGGCGCCCGAATTAAAAGGGTGTTGGATGATGATTCTCCTCACCCAGAATTTAGCAATTGGGTCCTCTAAAAACCCCATTTAATTAATACGGTTAATAATTTGGTAGAATTTTAAATGTATCAAATAAGAGATTAATTGCTTTAATCTTCTACGTAATAATGAGAGGGTTCAAAATAATGTTTATATATATTTGCCATTTGGGTATTGCTGCCTCATGAGAGGTGCGTTTAGAGTTAAATCTCATACTTCTCCCAAAATGACTGATCAGAACTACACGTCTAACAGATTACAAGTAAAATTTAATTTCTATTTCAGTTCATTATTTTATTACGTAATTGCAATTATAGTCAATGAGATGTGCAGTACCTCCGCTTTATAAACTCACTGGTCAGCCGCTTATCATGTTCAGACTTCCAGAAATCAAAAGAAATACATACTAATCAGTAGAAAATCGCCGTTTGTTAAAGTCATGTACGTCTCTTAATATACTCAGATTCGCAAAAGAATGATCCTTCAGCGTCAGAATATCCAACTTATACCTATCAAAGCTTTTCGTAAGTTTGTTCATTTAACACATCGTAGATCGCGGCTTTACTTTTCAGGTATATAGTACTTCAATAAAACAGTTTTGATCAAAGTTTTTCCCACCCGCAAGTCCATGTACCTGTAAGACACGAATTTCAGGGTTCTTTTTCCGCATTGGACTTCAGAAGAGCAAAATTTCCTAAGTTTAACAAGAATAATTCACTACAGGCATCATTTTAAATAGGTGAGGTTTCTCTACCGAATATCAGCTGATAGGAGATTCAAAAGCAACTTTTGTATCCTTCTTTAAATGCTTCTACGTTCAAAGTCTTCCGTTTGGGATAAACACACTATGTTCACACAGAGGTATGAAAAACGTTCATTAAATGCTTCTAAGAGTCGCCGTAAATTAAGAGTTTTTGAAGGAAAAGGAAGTGGCAACTATAGACTGAAGAAAAATAAAGAAAGTATTGGTCGTATTTTGTAATCATGAAAATGATCAGGTAAACAGGAAAAGGGTAATTTTTCTGCTGGTTAGAAACGTAAATTCGAATAATCCATTGAAAGAAGAAATTTTTTAATTTTTAGTGCGCTTATCTTGTAGCATAATATGTAGACATGTTTTCCTGGACAAAAAGGGCAAATTATTAAGGCATTTTATTGTTCTTAGTGCACCTAGAGAAAAACTACATTTAAACTGGGAATTTTGTCGACAGCATTGTGCAGTTTACTTAAATAAGGAATTATAATTAATGAAGATTTAATAAAATATGCAAATATATCAAGGAAGCGCAGGAAAGTGAAATCGAGAAACGTTGAAATTGCTTTTCTAAAATGGTTTTTTGCTATAAAGTTAAAAATTGTTTATATGTCTAGAGCTTTTTTCACTAATTTAATAAATGCTAGGACAGAATTTTATATCAACTGACATGTGGCTCACAAGTTCAAGAAATTAAATCCAAAATTATTCATCAAGAACAGTTTGGTGAAAAGGAAGAAGAGCATCATCTTGCAACTGATAATAGGAGAGAAGTTTTACTTCTGCTGCTAAATGAATACAAGCCTCGCAGACAAAACTGGACTACGTCACAGAAAATTTCTAAAATACACATTAATACATAAAAGCAAAACAGCAGTTGATTTAAGAAATCGAAGGGATAAGATACTGTGTTATTAACGGGCAATATGGACCCAACAATTAAGGAGATAGCACTGGTTATTGACAAAAGCGGGAAACCTCGATGTATGAAAGGAGTCAAGAGTTTACATCTGATTCACGACAGCAGTAGGAACTCATTGATGACGAATCGTGTTTTTTACCGATTTATTTGAAGTGGTACAGAGAATTAAAAATGATAAAATAACTTTTCTAACTCGATATCTATGTAGCACACACACCTCTGATCCCCTTCTGAAACATATTATTGTCTCTTCCTGCAAGTACAACTTCTAACATTCAAGCTTTAATTTTTTAGAGTTTTGTAAAAGGTTTCAAAAGTCATTACAGAATTATGTTCAATAAATAATGAAAAGAACTGTTTTATAAAAAGAGATAAAATGTACGATGAGATAAGTAAGTCGATATCTCCGCTAGAGGCTATGCATTTTATAGTCAATGCAGGGAGTTAATCTCTTAAAATAAGCTAAAAACTGTTTTCGAAATTATCCCTTTTATGTATAAAAGTCTCAGACGAACTGTAAACTATAGTCAATGCTTTAGGTATCAGTTAAAAAAATTACGAAGATTAATTTTTACAGTATGTATCAATTCACAACAATATTCAGACAACGTGTATAAAAATTAAGAAAAACTCTGCGTATTCTTTCTTAAATTGAAAGATGCTAATCAGAACAGTTACCAACAGTTTTACAAAATTCAGAATCTGTCGTTGAACAATATGAAACGTAAATAGAATGGTTGTTTATAAGAGACAAAATTTCATTAATAATGCAATTATAAAACTTTTTTTATAAAAATTTTAAAAACTACGTAAGTAGTAGTTAAATTTTAGCTTTAATTTTTATATATTATTTATAGATTAATAAATGAATCAGTTGTTAGTCATTATATTATTGTCTGTCATATACAAATCGCCGCCTATTAAATTCAGCTGCTTAACAAACTGAAATACTTTTGAAACGGAAGTGATTTTAACAAGCGGCGAATACTCTAATTGTAGTTACTTCAACAATTCCACTACAGGATGATAAGACATCTGCATAACTTATTACACGCACACAATTATATATATATATATATATACAGTATATACATATATATGTGTGTGTGTATTCAAAATGCTTTACCAGAAAGATACGTTGTGCTTGAATTTTTATTAATGAACTTCGGCGAGAAGCTTAATTATTTTCCTTTTTTCATTATTTTTCGTTTTATTATCGTTAAGTCTGCACTCGTATTGTGAAATGGTAAGTGACCTGAACAATCGATATCGCCTATCTTAACTGAAGCTCAATACAGATAAAAATCATGTACTTAAATATCCTAAAACTTGCTGTAATATGTAATGAGATTTCAAGTCAAAACAACAAATGAATTAACAGGTAAACAAGTGAAATGAATATATAAACAAATGAGTGAGTATAATTTTTTTTTATTCTTTTAAACTACTCAGCAGTGAATTTAGCGTTTTAAAGACTGCAAACACCGATAATAGAAAAATCGTCTTTTGTTTTAAATATGATGTAATTTTGCTGCATTAGCCAAATATTTTATAATATAGCAGAGTAGGCAGCTTAAAACTCATAGCGAAAAGTATCTGAAACGAAATGGAAAAAGAAAGCACGCGACCTCCATATCGGGATTGGTTATCAAAGCCCGCCACTTTGTGTGGAGTTCAAGTGGGTAAAAACGAGCTAACTTAATTAGATCCAAGTTCTGTACGTCAGTTAGCCCCGCTGGGTCGTTGAGCACTAAGTGTAAAAGGACTTCAGACAAATATATAAAAAGACCTTCCTCAGCAGAGGTAGATAGATTTTAAGTCTTGGCATTTACTAAATAATCCAGTTCAAACCTACCATTTTTCACTTTCTCACAGTCATAGGTTTATTATTAAAATCTATTATTAAAAGTCTACTAATCTATTGTTAAAATTATTCTCACCGATTAAACTTTACCTCATGAAACAAATGCTGGATGTATTATTCACATGCTCTATGTGTCCCCATAGAAAAATCACACTTCATCAATATTCTAAATATTTTTTTATTTCTTTTAGATCACAAGTCATACCTGCGAAGCATCTCTTGATTTTACAGATGATGTGCAGTATGAGATGTGCAAACCTTTTCATTCTCAGTGTTAGTCAATCAGCTAATATGGGACTCTGTTCCGTGACTCAAGATCAGAAGACTTGCTTCGAACTGTTGTGGAGGGCTATACCAGACCCGTACGTCAAATTCAAAGAAATAGCAGCTTCCGTTTTTGAAGAACATCACTTTCTCGTTCATCATTCCGTCATGAACAGCATTCGGTATGAGAATAATCGCAAGTATTTGTGTTTGTACGAAATTTGTTTCAAAGACATGGCCACGGGGCCTAAGGAACCAAGGACTTTAAAACACCTGAGCAGGTGCACAATCCGAAAGAGCATGAAGCAAGCATGGAAACTTCCCTCAGGACTATCACTATTGAGATTACCAAAAATTCTCCATGATTATCTCAATCTTGAGTATGACTGATTAACGTTCTTTAGTTTTGTGTAGTGTACATAGGTTTCATGTGAACAAAATTGAAATGTTTATGTATCAGAGACTTCGAAGAAATGTTGGAGTTGAAAGATTTCATTATTTAAAGCTATTTTAAGACTAATGTTCGTAAAATAATGTGTTCAAACTTAAGCATTTTATTATTTTCGAAGAGTTTGTTTTCATCAAACAGAAAATAATTTGATAAATGCCAAAATTATGGATAGAATGCTAAATATATTTTACTTTATTGAATTAAAATGTTTAAGCAATTAAAGTAAATGTATCGAAGCTATTAAATACTATTTAATATATTATGGGTCTCTAATAAATCTTATTAAGCTTATTAAATATTATTTTCTATAAAAACATTTATATTTATACGTATTTTACATGCTTTATTTATAGTAGGAAAAACTTTTATTTCTAACACATGCAATTTTTATAATTCAAAATATTTCCACTTATTTACAGTCATAAAGATTTTTTGTTAAATTATTTAGTTATACCCAAATAATTAAAGAATTACATCAAGTAAGTTTCTGCACAAAGTTTCTGTTGGGCTCGGAGTGGCAGCAGCCCCGTTAACAGAAATGCACCTAATTAATTTTGCATTTCATACAGTTATCTTAAATGAAGACCTAAGTAGAGTAACAATGTGCATTTAATAATCCTCCTTTGCATTGCAATATTTCAACTGAGCGAATGATTTCATTTACATTTTCCATTAGCTAAGAGCAACCAATCGTAGTTCACTTTGAATCGGTAATAAAAACATAAATCTTTTCAAATTTAAAACTATTTCCCCGAAATTTTTCAACAAACGCTTTTCACATATAATTTCCTAATTAGCATTATAAATTTGAATACGATTAGCCGACAAATTTCATTGTTTTGTAAGAATGATTTAAGTATTACAGGTTCTCAACGTTTTAGAGACTGCTAAAATTACTATATATATTTGCTTTGAATAAATCATGAAGTGGCTAACCATTCATACAAATTGTTATACTGATTACTAATTGTAACCATTCATACAAACTGTTAATACTGATTGTAATAATTTTGGCAATATAATACTAGATTCCGAGCTTATTTCTACATTCTAAGAGCCAATACTGTAAATATTTAATATTCTAAATTTTATTTTAATATCTGTCCATTTACTAATTACGGTAATAAATTTTAAACTTTAGCTCGTTCTTCTAAATAAATTTCATTTTCCTCACAAATATTTTAAATTTCGCAAAACAGGTCTAAGACTAATTTTTTAGGTAAAAAGTTTTTTCAGTACTCCATGATTACCGGCATTTCCATGAAACATCAGCAACTCATAGCCAACTTTGGGATTTATCGCAAAATATTTACTTGGCTATTTTTAAAGCTTGTGAGTACTCCTTTTTGCACAAATAATGATAATAATAAAATATTTTATAAGAAATAAAAATTTCTTCGAAAAATAAAAAAAACCTTTATAGCCGGTACTTATTTTTAAAGCCAGTAGATACTGTTCTGGGAAATGACGGTTAAATACAGAGAATACACTAGTACATACGATTATGAATTGGTTAGCTATTACATTTTGTATGCTTCAAAATACACCAAAAACACAATAAGTCTACTAAAAGTTGTAGCCAGAAAATAAAGCTTTTCACATTTCATCTTCAAAGTTTTCCCATTTCATTTTGATATTATAATTATGAATCAAATTCGTTTTCTTTCGTTTATATATATATATAAATTTCGTTTATATATATTTATAATTTTATTTTGTTTCGTTGGATTTAGTTTCTTGCGTGACACTTTGGAACATTTGTTTAGGTTAAAATACTTCTAGTAGCCATTTTCAAAACAGAATGATACACACAAAATTTGCTGAATATTATTTGCTGTTTGCTATTCGTCGTAATAATTCATAAACACGTAAAACATTTTCGAACCTAAAATAGCAGCAGTTTTAAATATAAGATAGCATTTTTAATCAATTCGATGTCGCTGCTTATATTTTCAATTGAAGGGCCGGTAATTTGGTTACGCTTGGATGCATTTTAATCTACCATTAACTAAAACATTTAATTTCTTCAAAATACAAGAAAAGCCGGCTTTATTCATTATATACACTTACAATATGGCATAACAATTAGTTCAAATAAAAAGCATATAGCTCCCTGGGATCATTAATCCGATACGTAGAATCGTTGCTATTAACCACTGTTTCCTCTCTTTTGGTATATGTAATAAAATAATTCATTCAGTTTGAAAATATATCTAAACAGTAGCCTCTGCTAAAACTGTAATTAAGTAAATTGAATTTTTTGTACTTAATTACTTTTCTCTGTTAATATGTGTGTATTTTAAAATAATCGTTTGTTAACAAATACAGAGATAAAAAGATAATTCTGAAGCACTTTCAGGTATTGATTATATTAGATTACTGGTAAAACTAGGCAGTTAATTACATTATATCTCTATGATTAAAATAATAGTCTATAAAAATGAAAAAAGTTAAAAGGTTTGCTGAGTATTTGATGTGCGTATTTAGAAATCAATATTCGTTAAAAATATACTGTCGAACAATTAAATTTACTGCGCCATGTAGGAAAGCAATCAACAGTCACATATATTTCCCATATGCATTACAATGATAGAATAAAATGACTTTGTCATGTAATTTTAAAGTGAAGACCATGCAGAAATCTGTACCAGGAGCATCATCTTTCGGCAACAATAGCAGCTATTTAGTACTTGGTCGGACTGGCTTTGAATTGTAGTAAAGAGTATTAGCAAGTAACATGTAACGGAAGAGGAGGGCACCAGTACTTTTGCCGTCCTATTTAACTCTTAGATACATATAGTCTCATGCTTCTTCCTATGCTAGAACCCGCTTCACACTGTGTTTTATCAAGGAATGCATTATAGTAATAGATAGGTGTGATGTTGATAAAAACACAGAAAGAAAGCAAAGAAACTGCATATTGATGTGGGAGGTGTACCGTGCGACTGCTCACAAGTTAAGTAACATTATCCACATTCAGCTCGTGTTTTCCAGGATAGACAAGATAACAGTAGTGACTTTAGTGACGAGTGTCTTTTGTTTAATGATGATAGCACTGGTACTATCATTTGTACTGTCTGGAAGCTTGAGATGATGGCTGAATGTCAGTCAACAGCTCGTCAGGTAATGTTCGGAAGTTCCCATACCACTGTAGATGCCGTGTTGCTTAAGAATCATTTATGAAAGCATACTGGAAATGGACTTGTAACATAGCGTGTTAGCTGAGCAATGGAAGTATATCTTTTGTTGCTAATTTTTGGGAAAGAACAAATAGACGCGACGGCCTCGTGATGGATGGTCCCATTTGTCTTGTCATTTTGCTTTAGCTAAATTATTAATTATTTATCATCTTTTAAGGCAAGATCATGGTAAGGACAGATGCTATGAATTCGCTCCGATATTGCGTGCTGTCGCCATTGCGAGTGAATCTGCAATCTCATTTCTTTAGTTTCCGACATTAAAGGCACGTGTCGAAGGAATATACAGTGGAGGTAGAAATTAAGGTGTCTGAAGCGCCGTAAGTCCCTTTGAATATTATTGAAATTATTATATTTGTTGACGGAATTGAGAATGGCATATAGCACTGAGAGGCTGTCACTGTAGAAACTGTTCCTGTAGTGTTTATTATTTACTGCATGAGTTATTGTCATTTCTAATGAATGCACGTCTGCCTGGAAGATATTATTCTTGGGAAAAGTTGCGCTTTCCATGCGTGGAACGCTTGCTCATTAGTGTACCAAACAAATACACATCCAGTTCCCTTGTCTTGGCCTGAATTATCAATGTAGTACTGAAACTTTCTACTGGAATGGTAGATTGTTGTTGCAGGTGTATACTTCTATTACAGATTCTTCTCACATTTAGATTAATGAGCATCTTGTTGCTCGATGCTTCATACGCATGAGAGAACTATATGTTGATTCATGAAAACAGAATCCTTACAGCTTCATGGAGCACAGACTGGGAACCGCTGTGCTAGAGACTGCTTACTCAACACCGTATCTAGGGCAATCATCCAATATAGGTAGCAACTTTTCAATAACGTATAGGAACCTTCGAATGGCAGAAAACAACAAAAGTTAGATATGTTATTATAAACGTAAAATATTTAGAAAATTTAAATTCGTTATTGAATAAGAAGAAACGCAAGAAAAAAATGCCTTTAAGAAGAAGGAATACTATTTGATTTTGGATTTTAACAAAACAAGAAATGCTTTCCCCCCCCCCAATTTACAAAGATTGAAATGATGGAAAGAACATTCTTAGCTCGCACATTACTTAAAATAATTTCATCGTAACTCATAGGTTGCTGATCTTTATTTAAGCATTGTTCTCAGCAGAGCGGAATCAAACCTCACCTCTATAATGAATCTTGAACAACAGCTCAAAACTATCTTACTATGATTTTTTAATGATTTTGTTTATTAATTTTCAGATATCGAGTATGACACAGTACTATTAGTCTTCAAATATAGCGTTATGTAAACAATTTTATGTTCAACGTAGGCATCTTCTTACAGATCGAGTCTTAGTCTTGAGTTTAGCGTAAAGGAAACAATATTTAAATTTACTTATTACAAGTGTTGTATTTTACTGTGATACAACATTGTTTTAAGGCTTAGAACTTTAATTTAGGCTTAGACACAATTCATAGTTAACAAATTAATCAACTCATTCATGTTCTCTTTTCTTTTTGCAAAAACTGATACAGAAAGTTATTGCAATACATTAATAAAGTTGAGTTTTAATTTAAAACTATGTACTGTCATTAAGTTTGTTTTGGAATAAATAATGTAATGATTGGTCTTTCTTTGATTACATTTTTCTGGCTTAATTCATTACAGTAAAAAAATTGATGGTAGTAAAAATTATTTTTATAAGATGTACTGTTTTAATACTGAAAGGGCTAGGGAGTCATAGGTTGTGAAGGAAGAGTTAGGGTACTTTATGATTATAAAGCCTTATTTAGAAGTTCGCGAAATAAAACAATTTAGACACCGCTGTCCTAAGTAAGAAAACGTAGGCACTCACAACAATATTACTGTATCCCTGTGCATTTATCAAAAAACAATATTGTTTGGAAATCTTTATAAATGTGTATATGTTCATTTCTTTATCAAAAAATGGAAGCTTGACAAAAGAAAAATTAAAACTTTTATTTTGATAAAATAATTTTTCACACTATTTCTGTAAATTAAGTTAAAAAGAAACTTTGCTAAATTGCTGTCATGCTATCATTACTTTTTTTTCCATGAAACATAAGATTTTGTGCTTATACTCTGCTTCTTCAC